GATTAAATTATTCTGACTGTGTACAACAACTAAGCAAAAGGGTATTGTAGAATTATGAGTGAAAGTCTTGCATTGATCTATTGAACAGTCAACAAAAGAATACATGAGTCAGACATGACATGACTAGTTTGTAATTGACGTAGATTAAGAAAAAACATTTTGGTATTGCAACATTTCAAATGTATTTAGCAGGACTTGCCCATTTTTGATGGATTCACTCCTCAAACATTTCAGTCAGAGGTGAACTACAAAAGAAACATTCTGCAAAGTTTTGGAAATGTTGCCAATTATTTGCCCTTTTAAGACAGTTTGCAGGAGTTTACTTGCCTCCTTTTAAAAGGATTAAATCCTCTTAACCTCAGGTCAATTTCTACATATCAATTAATTGGAAACATGAAGAAAATGTGACAAAATCTGCCATGAAATCATGAAAACCAGAAATATGTCCATAATAATATTTGATCACTGATATATGTTGAGTTAAATTTGAGACATAATTGACTGTAATCGTTTTTGTATTCTACAATTTGGCCCTGTGGTATTGAGTATTAAATGAATGTGGCCCTTGCTGTGACCGAAGTTGCCCATCCCTGATATAGACTCTCTTTCTCTCAATAGCTTTAGGTGACAATATGACTGAAAATCTGAAATAAATTAAATGTCAGTACTGTTTAGCCACTACTTTTCATTAAAATAACAGAGACTGTATTAAATTAAATAAAACAAAGTATGTTCACAACCCTACAGGTATGCTTCGCCCTGTTTACCTGTTTTGTTAAATATTAGTATTAAAAAAAGATTTAGTTTGAATGACGCCTTTCAAACAGTCTTGTGGCATTGTTTATTACACTTTACTCTGTAATTTAATTAAATTATTTTCTTCTACATTCTTATCAGAGTGTTTTTGTTTTGCTGGTTATTTTTTTATGTGTATATACGACTGTGTACATATATGCATATATGTTTAAAAAAAATAATTAAAAAAAAAAAGAAGAAAAAAAAGCAGTCTTGTGGGGCTGAAGGGAGATCAGTGAAATCAGTGGCTACAGCTGATGTTAGGTAGCTACAGGAGAACCACGCAGTGAAAATGCTCACACAGACAACACACAGACACATGAATGGGTCTCTGGTAGGGACTTACCTGTGTGCTGCCACGGCTCGGTTGTTCAGGTACTTCTGGGCGGTCATGACACCGACGAATAAGAAATTACTGGACCTGGAGCTCGGTTTCTCGGTCGCCGGTGAACTGTTATCTTGCGGTGGCCATAATCCCCCGCCGTATTCCTTTCTCAGTCCCGGTTCAGCCCGCAGCCGGCCGGGTTAGCTTTCCGTTTGTGACCCGCTTTCTTGAGCTCGGTGGCCCGGGGTAAAATGAGTCTGGATGCCAGAGTGAACCCGAGCACCAGTCCGAGCAGAACACTGAACCATGCTCTGCGGCTTCGAGCTGCCATCCCCCCCAAAAGTTTACAGCTCTCCGTGTGTCCCACCGTGTCCGAAAACAACCACTTTACACGACCGAACCGAATGAAAAAGAGAATATAAACCCGATTCTGTGCGTCTCCTTCCTTCACACACTCTCTGTCATAGTAGAAAAGCCCTTTTCTTCTCCTCCAGCTGCCTACGTAGCATCACAGCAGTCTCCTTGAAGACGGAGCCTGAACCCTTCTTCTGCCGCTGCTCCCTCCGATCATCGATCATCGATCATCGGCAAACTTCAGCACCGATCGACTAAACACAGCCGCCCGGGACCTCGCCTTTAATAGTGCTCCTTTTCTCATCATAATCTATCCATTGGAAGAACATCGGGCTGTGGAAAACGCCGATCGCGAAGGATTAACAGTAGTTTGACCTAACGGTGTTTCCGTAGAAGCGCTCTGAGTGGCTGGGTGGGAGGGGTCTCTGATTCAGGAAGGGTTTTTTTCTTTTTTTCCCCCAAATCTTTTAAAACAACCTTTATTTAAAATAAATAAATCCTTATAGCCACACAGAATATTTTCTATTCAACAGGACAACCCGCAGAAAAATCTTTCATTTCAAAGTAAAATAAAGTAGAACTCTGCTTGATAATCTCAAACCATTTGCTAATATTTGTTGGATTTAAATAGTTTTTAAAAACTATTTTTTTTAAATTAGAATTTTTGAAAAACAAAAAGGTTATATTTTCAAGGAAAAAAATGTTTTATTGAAAAAGAAAAAGGCTACAAGTCACATATCAGTACGGAGGCCCTAAGTGGACATACACTGTTGTATTTTCTGGGTTGTTTTCTTGAGAATTCGACTGATTTATCGTTTTATCTCAGGAAACCAACACTGGTTTTCCTGTGATAACAAATTCATTTCACAAGATTTCAAGAAAACAACAGAAATTAAGGCCTACCCGTTATCAGAAGAAAGCCTGCAGTTTTATCCAGAGATAATAAAATCAGTAGTCAAGATATGAAGAAAACCACCAAAATGTACTCGTTATCATGGGAAGAAGTTTATGTTAATAATGTTAATATTTAATTGAAAATGTAAGGTAAAGTGGCCTAAAAAGTCAGCAGGGTGGCATTCTCCATGCAGAGTATAAAAAAGAAATGTAAAAGCATCATTTAAACAAAATATGTTTCTAATATTAAGACATTTCAAACTAAAAAGATAAGCAGAGAGGCATACAGATGTGTATTGCACATTCACATGAGAAAATAAAATCTGCTCTGTTTTTCTAAATTAACAAGATAATTAACCCAGAGTTACCAGTATGAAGAATAAATACAATTTACTTTCTGAACTAAAGAGAAAAATATTGCATTACATTTTTATGAAAAATAACTTTGTGCTCTGTTTTTCTGAATTAACGACATACCAGGTCCTCAAAAGCCCAACAAAAGCTCCCATTTAGATCACTTCAAGTTTCAAAACATTCCCATACTGTTGGGTTTAACCCAGTTTTATTTTGGTTTGGGGTTGACGCATGGGGAGACACTCTTGTCTTTAGTCAACGTGGATAATAGTTAAAAGTTTGTCGACTTTGCACAGGAAACTCAGATCTCTGCAGTCAGGATCAGCTGTGCCGATAAGACATGCTTCACTGATATGACGTGATGCGTCTGAAATGCTTTCAGGCTGGCTACAGGGGGACTCATGAGACAATAAGGCGATTGCTGAAAATACTGGATCCCCACGGAGTGGAACTGAGGCACTGGTGTTGTGCAAAGAAATGCAAGCACCTTGTGACTCATTATTCTGAGGTAATTATCTCTTTCATTCAGGAAAAAGGGACAGCTTTTATTTTCTCATGTGATTGCAATACTTTTTAAAACGTTAAAATCTCTAATATTTTAATAAAAACTTATATATCGAAAAGAACCAAATCCTTTAAAGAAAGTAGGCTACATCTATTTTACAAGGCGTATGTATAGGATGTGGAGTTGACTGAAGGTACTGGAGGGCCCAATGTGATATCTTTTCATGGGGGCCAGAAATCCTGGAGGCGCCCCTGATGAGGACACAATATTATTTAGTGTAAGGCTCACAAACTTTAACACCACTGATGTTGATATTTACACATTGTCCCTACATGTATCTTGTTTTTCTGATTGCTGAAGTATGCACATGTTGTAGCCCTTTCCATGCAGAAGAATCTGTTGTGTCTTCAACATTCTTTGGTGGGTCAGTCAGCAAGCTGGTGCCATACTTGTAATATTCAACCCAACTTATAAGATAGTAAATTAGATATTTATTGGTTGTCTGTCTACATGTTGTTCAAGGCCTCCTGCTCGGTTAGGAGACGCAGGTATTTCATTTTTTGATCATTTGCTAAAACTTTCTTTAACACACTTGGAAGTTGTAGAAAAAAACCCAGTTCTGAGTTTCTCTATCAAAGCTTAAAGAAAAAAAGAATAAACAGCAACAATGGTAATAAGTATTTGCAACTGACATGTTTAAAATACTAACGCCTACTTTAGTACTGCTGTTATATACATGTTGTCATTTTTAAAGATTGAGAATTGCTCTGTTCTTTAGGCGTATAAAGAAAGTCTGCTAAGGTAGAATGATTCTAAAATCTACCTGTCGCTCAGCCAGCTCTCTGGTCTTTAGCGCCCCCGTGTGGTCACAGTCGTCCACAACAACAACTGTCTGTTCCCGCTGAAAACGTCACCTAGCTGAGTTAGGATGTGTCCGGACCATTGACTGTATATAACTTTTTTAAATATAATTTACAGTCTATGGTCCGGACAGGTTTAAAGCTTTAATGCTACACTGACCATGTTTGTATGAATGAATGAATGAATATTTAATTTTTTGTGTGTGGTCATTCACATGACCCATCACATGTGGAATTATTGTGACACATTAGCTGACTCAACGAAATGTTAACATCACAACAGCACCATGAACATGAACCCTCCCCCAAATAATAACACTCCATGAGGTAAGATACAACCTATACCAACACAGCTGTATTAAATGTTATGTTGTTACTTAATGTTTCTAATAGATACTTTATTGATCCCGAGGGAAATTCAAATGTACTGTATGTAATGTACGAGAAACAACAATAACAGAGTGTAGACCAGAATATCCCTCAGGGATCAATAAAGTATATAAAATAAAATAATAAAAAAGAATCAGTCTCAACCCTCAGCAGCGTTGCTCATAGTTGATCCTGACAGTCAGAGTCTCTCTATCTGCAGGTCACTGTCTGTGAGAGCAGTTAGTCTTAACTCTCACACTTGTTGTTCAATCAAGTCCCAAGTCATTCCACATCAATGTGATATTTACTAAAACATGTATCAATGTTCTGTTGAAGACCTCTTCACTCCACAGTGTAAGGTGCTAACGTACAGCCTCGTGTTGATGCCTCTATTGAACATGTTTTAAACTTCAGTCATGAAGATAACTTGTGTGTTCATTGAAATGTTCACAGACATTTATTCATCTTAAAAAGTACATTTGAATCTTGTCAGTTAACAGGATTGGTGAAGGAGGGTGGTCAAAGACTGAAACACAGACGCACATAGCAGATATCTTTTTATTGCATACAAATGTGTGAAACAGAATGGGCATGGCTGTGTTACACAATAACTGATCAATATGTTTTGTAACTACAGATGCAGACGAGTCATTTTGTGTCCAGCAGCTACAGATGCTGCAGTGTCCACGGCCTCTACACTGTGAACATACACACTCATAAAGACATGGAAACACTGACTGTGAACGTCATCAGCCGCTCCTCCTGGTTACACACCGTTTACAGGAGCAGCTTCATTTCAAGCTTTCAATCTCACAAACCAAATTCAGCCCTCACAACCCCGATTAATCACCATTATGTTTGATAGTTAACGAGGCTGCAGCACACAGAGATTATTACCTTATTGATAGGTTTTTATTGTAAAGTAAGCTAACTGATCAGAATTTAAAGAAAATGTATGTGTGTGCAGATATTGAAGCTTGGTTCATCAGTCAATGTGTTGATCAAGACGTCAGAGCAATCTGACCCTCTTTAACCTCATCCTCCCGAGGACGGCCCCCTCCGACCCGGCCTCCACGTACAGGAGCTGCCTCCCTCTCCAGTCAGAGGGTTATAGTCTAGAAGAAACAGAGCGCACGTTTAAAAACATGTTTAGACATATGTAACATATATTACAATGATTGTTTCAGGTCGATCTTTTTTAAATACCTGCACCACGGAGCGGCTTCTTGTCCGTCTTTGGTTTCGGCACAGTGGTGGACGAGCTGGCCTCTTCAGCTGCCTGCAGTGACACATATGCAAATATTTATACATTTATTCATTTGACTATAATAAGACATTAGATAAGACAGTGGATAGAGTAGGAAACTACAGAGTGTGTGTAGTGGGTAATGACATTCAGGAAAGGAGCCTCCTTGGGGACCACAGCCTCAACACAAGCCCTAGATTCTTCATCATTTTAGCCGTTGCTACTTATTTGTTTAGTATATTTTGTTTTCTGCATATTTCTTTATTGTTTTTTGTGGGAAAGGGTTTATATTTAATTGGGCAATCTTGGAACCCATCAGCAATCATCGTCTATCGTCCTCTGATTCTCTTCTGCGTTAAACAACTTCAGGACAAGACTACATTAACGGGTCTTAGGTTTGGTTGAATTAACAACAAGTTGATGCAGATTTGTAAAAAAGAAACAAGTTAAGCTTTGTCAGGTGGAGAAGGAAACAACTTTTTCAATGTTAGTTGAATGGAGGACAGACCGATCATTTCTGATGTGTTTCAGGATTTGTAGCTCAAGAGCTATTTAAAAGATAAAATCCAGAACAGATTGTTAGCTTCACTTTTATGCCGATATCTGTTTATTAAAACAAATCAATCATTATAAGAATACCGTAGATGAAAGCTGATTTACTATTAGCACAGATAATATTCCATCTGTTTCCCCGGTATACACCAAACCCTGCTGATACGTGAATGGTCAATAAAGCTCGGACTACAATTGTACCACAAATGGAGACCAGAAGAACACTTCTCCTGACAATCCAGACCATCATATGCATTTTTTTTAATGTTTCTATTTATAATAGAGGACCAGCATGCACCTGGGTGGGTCTATAGTCTTTGTACCAGTTCAAGAGAGGAAGCAGGACCATGATGTTCTTTATTTGTCCCCGGGGTGCAATTCAAAGGCACACAGAGCAGTAAATTAACAACAGTGCAGGTAGACGAAACATTTTAACCTAAATAAAAAGTGTCAATTTAAATACAACTTAAAGCTTAAACTTAAAAATACAAAATATAAAAGAGTAGACATAAGTGGACAGTGATCGGACTAACAGATGTAAACAGATGTAAACAGAACTATGTGCAGTAAACGAGAAATAAATATGTATATACAGAGCTATGTGCAAGTAGGCAAACACTAAATGATAAGTTAATAAGGTGCATAGTGAATAATGGAACAACAGAACTAATATATACAATATAACTATAAGGTAAAAATGAGATAAATAAAGTGACCGTAGTGCAATGATGGATAAGAAACAACAGGAATAAATTAACCAGAACTGTATGAATACTGATATAAAATGGATAAAGTGGCACTACATCACTTAGAAGACTGCAGACTGTGACCGTGCTCTGCAGGCGGTTTCTGTTCTGGAGGGGGGTGGAGTGGAACCAGCAGGTTATAGAAAAAGTAATAATGCTCTCAATGAAGGAGTAGTAGAAGGTCAGAAGAATGTTCTTACTGACTCCAAAGGAATTGAGCTTCCTTAGGAGGTATTTTCGCTGCTGACATTTCCTGAGAATCTCCTCGGTGTTGGAGGTGAATTTCAGCAGGCTGTCAAAGATGGTACCCAGGTACTTATACTCCTCTACTAGTTCGACAGGATTCCCATGGATTGTGGTGGTTGTGGTGATTGCAGCTGCAGCCAGTTCCCTCTGCTTGTTGGAGAAGGTCACCACCATGTCTTTGGTCTTTGGTCTTGCTCACGTTCAGTTCGAGGCAGGAGCTGTCACACCACTCCACAAACTCCTGAAGAACTGGTCCATGGTGCTGAGAGGGGCCTGACAGCAGACACAGGAGAACTGTGTCGTCCACGTACTTCACCAGGTGACAGTTTGGCTGTTTGGTTCTGCAGTCATCGGTGTAGAGGATGAAGAGCAGAGGTGAGAGCACGCAGCCCTGAGGGGTGCCAGTTGAGATGTGTTGGAGGTTGGAGAAGGTGTTGTTGACCAGAACTCTCTGTGATCTGTTGGTCAGAAAGTCCAATATCCACAGGATAAGCTGGTCGTTCAGATGGAAGCAAGTTGAAAGTTTGTCAGCCAGGATGTGAGGCTGCAGGGTGTTGAATGCAGAGGAGAAGTCTGCAAACAGGAGTCTGGCCGAGGTGTTGGGGTGCTCCAGGTGTTTTTGAACAGTGTCTATTATGAATGTTTTTGCATCATCGACACCTCTGCCTGCACGATAAGCGGGTCCATCTGGGAGTCGGTTTCTCTGATGATGTGCTGTTTTATGATCCTCTCCATGGCCTTCATCACCAGAGACGTGAGGGCCACAGGCCTGAGGTCATTCAGTGATTTGGCGGGGCTTTTCTTGGGGATGGGGATAACTGTGGAGTGTTTCCACAGCTGGGGGACTGTGCTGCTGTCCATAGAGCTCTGGAACAGGGTCTGAAACACGCCCCCTAGCTGCTCGGCACAGTGCTTCAGGATGCGGCCACTGATGTTGTCTGGACCAGGTGAGCTGCTCTCACCACATCCTCTCTGCTGAAGGTGAGTGCAGAGTCACTGGGCTTGAGCATGGACACTGTTCCTTCCAGCTGTGTGGTGTTGTCCTTCTCGAATCTGGTGTAGAATGAGTTGAGATCGTTGGGGAGAGAAGTCGAGCTGCTGCCTGCAACCTGATGGTTTTGATGTTGGTAGCAGCAGTGTTCACAGCAGCCATGTTTTTGAGGCCCTGCCAAGCTGAGCGGAGGTTCCCCTGTGTGAATTTTTCCTCCACTTTGTTCTTGTACTTGAGCGTGGCAGTTTTTATGGCGTGCTTGACTTCTCTGTTTACCTCCTTTTTCTCCATTTTGGAGCCAGTGAAGAAGACCCTTTTCTTCTTGTTGAGGACCTCCTTGAGCTCTTTGGTGATCCAAGGTTTATTGTTGATTGTGACTGTTTTGGAGGGGATGATGTTGTCCACACAGAAGGAGATGTACAATGAAACAGTGTCCACATGCTCATTAATGTTGTTGGAGGGGGCTAGTCAGTGGATTCAAAGCATCCTTGTAGTGTAAGAATGCTTTCGTTGGTCCACTGCTTGATGTTCTTAACAACTTTCTTAACCCTCTTTATTACAGGAGTATATGCTGGAGCAAGCAGGATGGCATGGTGGTCAGCAGAGCCAAGAGGGGGAGAGCAACAGATCTGTATGCGTTAGGAACTGAACCATAGCATTTATCCAGTGTCTTCCCAGGCGGGTGCTGCATGTAATGTACTGCTGGTAGCCTTTTAGTGCTTTTTCAGGAGAGCAATGGTTGAAATCACCCAAGATGAATTTGGGAGAGTCCGGTGATATGAGTTCCAGTTTATTTAATAAGTTTGTGATGTGTTCAGTGGCTGTGGCTGCGTTAGCTCTGGGGTGGATGTAAACCAGGATGAGAAAACGCTGTGGAAATTCTCTGGGGAGATAGAAAGGGCGAAGGGAGACAGCCAGAAGCTCAATGTCCGAGGTGCACAGTTTCTCCCTCACGACGATCATCGAGCACCAACGTGTGTTTACATAAAGACACACGTCGCCGCCATGTTGTTTCCCAGTGAGCTCACTGTCTCGATCAAGTCTTAAAGGGGGGGAGAAGCCATCAACGTGCAGCGTGTTATCATCGTCGTTCTTATTTAACCACGTCTCAGTAAAAGCAAGACCAGAGGCAGTCCTGTACTCATGCATGTGGTTAATGTTGGCCTGTAACTCGTCCGTTTTATTGTGGAGGGAGCGTACATTAGCCAGGATGATAGATGGAAGCGGCCGTTGTTTACATGTCTCCCGTTTGAGCCTGGCTCTGATTCCTCCCTTTCTCTTTCCCCTCCTGGTTACCTTGTTATTTCTGTGAGTGGAGTTGTCTTAGTGAGTTATCCTGGAGAATTTCTTCAGGAAGCATGTCTGTGTTGATGGCGTGATGAGTTTTAAATCCGAGCTGCAGCAGAATGTCTCTCGAGTAGGTGGTTCGCGACCTGCCAGGAACGTTGTTTCTGCTTGCAGTCACAAACTCCCAGAGGAGCCAAACGTGCAGAAATGTCCAAAAAAGAATTCGGGCATCCATGCCAATGGTAAATAATTCCGGGGGATGAAAAGAAAAGAAAGAAGAAGACTGCCGTGTTGTAGTCTGTTTGTCACGGTGTTCACGGTTGTAAACAAAGAGCAGGGCTGCGAGAGGACGAGTGTGGGCAAAAAGAAAGTCTGCTTCGTCTGTGTAGTAGCGGTTAAAAGTTATAAAACACACTCTTCCTGTGTGTCCTCGGGAAAAACCATGGAAAACTAAACAGTAGAAAAACGTAATAAACGCTAAATAACTGCTGCGACCCGGAACAGTGGACAGTGGACTTCTGCCTGCGTACATCACATCCCCGTAGTGAATTAGTGGACTACGAGAGTGAGGACATTTGGATGTCTTTATAAAACGTGCTGCTGATGGATATGCTACTGTCAAAAGAGCAAAATCAAGCTAAGAGAAATGGAAAGAGACAAAGCGGATCGAAGCGCTGTACATCAGGTGTGTGTGTGTGTGTGTGTGTGTGTGTGTGTGTGTGTGTGTGTGTGTGTGTGTGGAGAACCGAAGGGAAGTAGGGTGATTAGATTCGAGCAGTTTGCGAGCAAACACTAAAATAAGTTGGAGGAGAAAGTCACCAGTAAAGCCAATTTAAGTGTGAAAAATGATCACCTGAAGAAGACCTCTGGTTGAGTCATTCTAATTCTCTAGCTTCTTATTTAAGATAATTCCATTATAAAATTACTTCAGGAAACAAAACTTCAAGATTCTCTCCCGTCCCTTCTTCTAACGATGCTATAATTTAAGAAATTGTTGAAGAACTTTGACAGGATAATACAAATAAACAGAGCATCAAAACCACGTACACCAACGACATAGAACAATAAGAACTCAGCCCTGCTCTATAGTTATAGTGTCATTTTAAATCCCTCCACACTAGTGAAACAGAAGATTTGATCTCAGACTCACCGCAGAGACTCTCTGAGCTCCTTTGTAGCTCTTCCCCTGCTGCATGCTCTCCCAGATCTCGATCTTCTGCCTCCTCTTCTCCTCCTCTTGCTGTTTACACACACACACACACTGTGAGTTCAGCGTACACATCATGGAGAAACATTTTTTTTAACTTCACGTGTACTGCACCTGTTTCTGTTTCTCTAAAGATGGCTGCCTTGGCATCCAGCTCCTCCTGCATCCTCCTCCGGGCTGCTTCCATAGCCTCCTGATTCCTCACCACCGACGAAACATCTTCATAAAAACATGTTTAGGGAAAAGGTTAAAATGATGTGAAGAAAAAGGACTTTTAAATGATTCATAGTTCAAGTCATCTGGCTGTCATTATCTGTTCTGTTTGAGGGATGGAACTTCATCTTAAATTATTCACTTTTTTTTTCCCCTTTCTTCCATTTATCTTAAGTTTTATTGGCACCTGTGAAGTTAAAAAACAACCACCAGCTGCCTGTAAATCTCAAATCTACAAA